ATTTAAATGTGCTGACAACTCTTTGGAAGTGGACTAGATCTTCAAGACTTTTCCAGCCAAATGGCTGCTGACTCCTCCAACTCAATATTATAAAAACATAATGTGTTAAATCAATAATAAATTAGTGATGAGAATAAATTGATTTATTCATTCATCAATTTTAAACTAATTATGATTTTTCCCTAACCAGCTCCTTCCCCTAACTTCTAACTTCCCCATTTTTGCCCTACCACCTCTATGAACCCACATGGCCTGGTAGCAGAGTAAGCCATTATCCCTTCTCATGCCCCCCAGGTCCAAATTCTACAGCATCTTCCTTCCTTACTTCTCTTCCATGTGCCCCTTGGTTACCATCCAAGCTTAGGCCTCATTTGTCTGCTTGCTTTCACTCTCTACCCTCTACACAAAAGGCAAACTATCCCTTTGCTTTTGTCAACACTGGCAAATAGAGTGTGCATTCAAGGCCTTCTGTAATCAAGCCTTGCCCTTATTTCTAGCCCTATATTTCATTGGTCTTCCATACTTCAAGAAATTGGAATTGTTTTCCTTTCTTGGAATATTCTCTACCCCTTTTATCCACTTCCATATCACGTTTTTGCCTTTGCTTGTAAAGACTCTCCCGCCTCTACACATTATATATGTCATTACTACCAGAGTCATTCAACTATCTTTCTTTGAAATCTTTCCTATCACCCTAATAAAAAATAATATTGTCCTTCCTGAGTGCCTGTGGTACTTGGCTCCCTCCCTTAGTACCAGCTTTGTGGTGTATTTACTCATTTATTTATTTGTTGTGTTTTCCCCTGATCCATTATTAAACTCCTTGAGACAATTACTTTAGAACTGAAACTGACGGGACTCACTCACTTCATTTGTGTTGAAAGAATGAATGAATGAGTGACGGAGAAAGTTCTTATATCACCTGCTCTTCAAAAGCAAGTTTTAAACTTCCCACTGATACGAAATTCAGAAATTCTTAGTAGATATTTTGGTGTTCCTAGATATTACATAACAAATTAATGTGAAGCCATTATGCAACAGAATACAGGCCCCACTCAGCTAAAACGAGTTAAACATATCTTGGGTCCGCAGAACAACTGATGGTGTTGGAAACATTAACTAGATAAATACAAAGCAATATAATCTAGTTTTATTTTCCCAGAAGGTTGTTTTGAGATCATCAGTTGCTCATAATGTATAGGAAAGCATTATTTTCATAAATCTTTAGGTGAAAATATTTTGTTTCTTTTCTACACTTCTATATGTATTGAGCATGACTGAAACAAGCCTGGCATATGGTATTTTATAGTCCTCACAATCTATGTGATATAATTTAGAACTGAATTATATACAGGTACATATTATATATTGATCTTTTCTCCCCAACAAATGTTAAATGAATGAAAAAACTCCACATTTCCTTAATCCCTGGCATTTGTGAAGCCTTTAAACATTATCTTGTAGCAGCAATGATAGCACTTGTGTTAGAGGTGGTGCGGTGGTGATGGGACCAGTGGTGATAGAAGTGGCAGCGGTAAAAATAGCAGAGACAGGAACCGCAGTGCAATGTAAAGGATCTCATGGGAGCCAGACTCATGAGATACGGCAGCTCATCTAAATATTAAAAGAACCCTACAAAACCGCTCTAATCTCTCCACTTTACAAATAAGGAAGTTGGTGGGCGCCTGGGCGGCTCAGTTGGTTAAGCGACTGCCTTCGGCTCAGGTCATGATCCTGGAGTCCCGGGATCGAGTCCCGCATCGGGCTCCCTGCTCGGCGGGGAGTCTGCTTCTCCCTCTGACCCTCCCCCATCTCATGCTCTCTCTCTCTCAAATAAATAAATAAATAAAATCTTTAAAAAAAAAAAAACAAATAAGAAAGTTGGAGTTTTTTCCCCATTTCACCGTGTTACCTCCTTATAAGCCATCCAATGAATGAACCGTTTTTTGGAATCCCTTTGCATCTGACCTAGACTGGTTGAATAATTGATTGATATGAATAGTTGAGTGCACTGGAGAATTCCTAGTAAGAAAGAAAGACTATGGGGTTTTTGTTATTTTCGCAGACTAGGTACCCCACCCCCAAACGACATATAAGAAACAAATGTGCATTACACTATACTCTGGCCATTTATAACAAGATCCTTTCCACTTAAAGTCATCTAATATGGTTAAGTGTACCAGTGGATGCCTCTTTCTCCACTAGCAATGAGGGAAGGATTTACTCTGGGTACTGAGTTGTCTATTGCCAACCTTGGATGCCTGGAGAGGCAAATGCTAAGTATGACAAATGAGTCACATAATTTAGACATTAATCTAGAAAATACTTGAGCCATTCAAGGTCAATTAAACTTTTTATGTATAGAATTCATAATCTACCAAATGAAAAAACCAAGAAGCCCCCAGCAACTTGGACATTTTCTCTAACTCTTGCCTTCGTTTTTCAAAAGCAAACACTGGAGTTTGGCTGCTGGTAAAGGAATCAATATGTCAATAACATAGTAACAAAATTTCTGATCAGTTACTGGCAATCCTGCTAGAAAAAAAATTGCTATAGTAACAGAGATAATTATCAGCATCTTTGGGGGTCAACCTGTTTGGTGAAATAGTGTTTAGAAATGCAGATGAAAATAGGTAAGAGAGTGACGAGGTAAATAAATACCTTCTTTAAAATAAATAATTTATGTCCAGGTGCTAACCAGAGGTAAAACTGAAAAGTATGTTTTAATTAAAATCCTATGCTGCCAACAAAGTCATTTAAAAATTACTTATTTCAAGATAGATAATTTTCTATTATCCATGTGAACAGAAAGAATCATGTGGAAGAAATCATCCAAAACAGCAGAAGATCTAGAAGTTGCTCCTATTTATTTCAGAAATACATTATTTAATTTGCTTTTTGCATGTTTCAATTCACTTTTCTAAGTCTGACTTAGGCTAATATTATAATTAGTTTGACTTTCCTGAGCCCTCATCAAGTTCTAGGAGGAAGTTAATCTAGAAATGTGCTAGTGGACGATAATGTGAAAAAAAAGTGATTAAAAATTATCTATCTTGAATGAGGAAAAATGATAGACCAAGTCTCCCCTCCTATCCCAAAACTCTCAAAATGGAAACAAATGTCTATATATTAATAGAAAACTAAATCTGTACGAGTGAAAGTGCTAAAACAAACTTCACTAATATCAAGGAAGCTCTCAGGTCTGACCAAAATGTTATGGAATGAGTCACTGGTTCTTAGCATGTACTTGTATTGTTAAACACAAATTCACTTATTCCTTCTTCCAAGGGCTGATCCAGAATGCATGACACACTACAAGGTGTAATCTTGGGGCACCTGGGTGGCCCAGTCAGTTAAGTGCTGGACTCTTGGTTTTGGCTCAAGTCCTGATCTCAGAGTGGTGGGATCCAGCTCCCCCATCCCTTCACCCAGCAGGCTTGTGCTCAGCATGGAGTCTGCTTAAGACTCTCTCTCCCTCAGCATGCCTGGGTGGCTCAGTCAGTTAGGCATCTGCTTTCGGTTCAGGCCATGATCCCAGAGTCCTGGGATTGAGTCCCGCATCGGGATCCTTGCTCAGTGGGGAGCCTGCTTCTCCCTCTGCCTGCTCCTCCCATTTGGGCTCTCTCTCTCTCTTTCTGTCTCTCTGAAAAATAAATAAAAATCTTAAAAAAAAAAAAAAAGACTCACTCTCCCTTTGCCCTGCCCCCTTCTCTCTCTCTAAAATAAATAAATCTAAAAAAAAAAAAAGAGGTAATCTTATCTATTTTCTGACCCAGAGTCCTGAGAGCAGAAGGAAACTTCCTTCCAATAACCGAAACAGTTCACAAATTTGCAAAAATAAAACCATTTTTAAAAGATGGGTCATTGGGACGCCTGGGTGGCTCAGATGGTTAAGCGTCTATCTTCGGCTCAGGTCATGATCTCCAGGTCCTGGGATCGAGTCCCATGTAGGGCTCTCAGCTCAGCAGGGGGTCTGCTTCTCCCTCTCCCTCTGGCTCTCCCCCTGCTTGTGCTCTCTCTCTCTCTCAAATGAATAAATAAAATCTTTAAAAAAATAAAATAAAAGATGGGTCACTTCACAATTTTTCTTTTTCCTACCTAAGATTTCCAAACTAAACTGGTGGAGTGAAGATCTCTTGAGATTGACTGTGTGTTAGTATATTTATAAACAGCCAAGTGGTCAGTGTTTTGTGTTGGCAGCCAAAAGCCAGTCATCCTAAATCAAGGTTTACAGGTGCAAATTTTTTCACTCCCCTGTATATTCCTTTTGACTTAAGGGAGATTTGATCTGAGTAGCCAGCTGGCAATATACACAATGACACTTAGAACACATGTGTAAACTTGAAACAAGTAGGGACACTTGGATGGCTCAGTTGGTTTAAGCATCTGACTCTTTTTTTTTTCTTTTTTTAGATTTTATTTATTTATTTGACAGAGAGATAGACAGAAGAGCACAAGCAGAGGGAGTGGCAGAGGGAGAGGGAGAAGCAGGCTCTGCACTGAGCAGGGAACCCGATGCGGGACTCGATCCCAGGACCCTGAGATCATGACCTGAGCCGAAGGCAGACGCTTAACCATCTGAGCCACCCAGGCGCCCCAAGCATCTGACTCTTGATTTCGGCTCAGGTCATAATCTCAGGATCCTGAGATTGAGCCCCAAATCAGGCTCCATCCTGGGCACAGAGTCTGCGTAAGATTCTCTCTCCCTCTCTCCTTCTCCCTCTGCTCTCCCTCCTTCACTCTCTCTTTCTCTCTCTCTCTTAAAAAAAAAAAAAACAAACTTGAAACAAGTATCATGAAAGGCAGAGTCAGAAGAATTACTATCTTTTTATCGAATGTATCTGTCATTTGCAAAACAATTACATTAAGTATACCCCCTTAGTCAACTAAATTGTTCCAATAGTGTGGTGTTTAAAAAGGACACATACATGTGTGTTAATATATTGCATATGATGGCTCAATTATTTAAACAAAAATATATGATCAGATGGAATCCTTACCTTTTCAAGTATTGCATTGCCTTGGTGAGGATTGATGTTATGCTGGCTTATTTCTCTCTTGTATTTATATTCATAAACTTGGTCAGTGATATTAATCAGCAGAGTTGATGGACTGAAGGCCAGTTTTCCACAATCATACACAGTTCCACTTTCAATATCTGTTGGTGCTGTAGCATACCGTAAGATTAATCCCATTATGAGGCCTAGAATAAAGAATAAACAATTGCATTGGAGGAACTGAATCTAAAGTGTTCACTACTGGATGCTTTTAAACATATGATTTTGAACTTACAGAAGTGGCAGGAGAAAAGGTTATATCATTACCTGGCTTAGAAAACTGTTCACTCTTCTACAGATACCAGTTCAATAGATTGCATTAAGATATTTGTGGTGTGGACACTATTGCTTGAATATCCAGCATATATTCCCCTGTTTTTCCTTCCTAATGGAGCCACAAATTTTGGAGAGAAAAGCTACCCACTTCTTTTTTTTTTTTTAACAGTTTTTTTATTTTGTTATGTTAATCACCATACATCATTAGTTTTTGATGTAGTGTTCCACTTCTATCCAACCAAATGCTTCAAGAAAACCTTTGCTCTTTAACAGATACTGAGTAATCTAATCAGTCAGTGGATTAAATTTCCCAAAAAGTTTTTGGTCCACAAGTCAGCACATATCTAAAAGAGTGCCATCAAACTAAAAGGAGGCACTTATAGTCCATGGTTGGGAGAGAGATGTTCTTTCTTTTCTCCTTTGGGACGTGAAAAGGCAATTTGTTTCCCCATTTTTTTGCTGGCAGATATTTTGCGACCTTGAGGGGACCCAGTCCAAGGGCATGGTCAATATACTGAGAATCTTAGGACCAAGATACAGACAGAACCTAGGTCCTGATGACCTCACCGAACTATTGGATCACCCTATTCAGGAGATACCCTACTTCTAGACTTCTCGTTATGTGATACAATACATTCTTTAATTTTTCAAACAACTTTGAATCAAGTTTCTGTTTACCTGCAGCAAATGCTTTCTAAAGATACAACATGCCTTTCAGTGAAGAGTTGAACCCAAGTAACAATCCTTGACTTTTAAGTTTACATACTTACATGTTACGATGCTCATGGTAATCTGGACTGTAAACTCCCCTAGTATTATGGATTTATTAATAAATAGCAAAGAAACTTTAGAGGCCTGATGTATGTGTTTTAAGATAAATCCACTATCCACTATTTAAAACATCAAATGTTGGAAGGTTTTACCACTCTTGTGAATCCAGTCACCTAATAGCCTTTCATTTACTTAATAATTTGTTGGGTGCCTATTTTGTACAAGACATTTTTAGACTTAAAAATGCAACCCCAGTCCTATAGGAGCTCAAGTTTGTAAAACACAAACCCTTAAGCAAACAATTATAATACAATGTGACATGTGCTATGACAGCTGGTAAGCCCTCTGTTATATGAGTATAGAGAGAAAACACTCCAAAGCCCTTTGAATGATGCAAAGCTTTAGAGGAATCTTAAAAGGTCATATAAGATTTGTCCAGATAAGCTGAATCAGGGAATAAGTTGGGATCCAGGTTGCACATGTGGGTGGCAGTACATAACAGCAGAGACAGCTAAAAGATCCCCAGGATTTATGTTCACCAATGTGTAGCACAGTTGTCAGGAAAGTGGATGCTCAGTCAGAGATTGTTTCCTGACTCGTGTCTGGTTAAGTTCTCCCCAATGGAATATAAGCAAAAGTGATATGTGCCACTTCTGGAACACAGCTTTGAATAAGTAGGTGAGTTTTCCCCTTCTCCTTCCCCATCTATCAGATAGATGGGGAGGAAACAAAGGCCCTATAAGTAAACAGAGTCACTAGACTGAAGGAGCCTTGGTCCCTGAGATACCAGGTGGGGGGAAAGCCTCTGCCAACCAGGAATACCTACATTGGACTATTATGTGAGTGAAAAGTTAACTTCTGCTGTGTTGTCACTGAAATTGTAGTGTTAATGTGTTAACCATCACCAGGATAACCTACTGGAGATTATGTATAAATACAGAAGGACTTAAGAAACCTGGTGGATTTAGAGAGTCAGTAGTGGTGTGAGAAGAGAATAAATGGGGGAGAGAAAAATGATAGAGAGAAAAAGAGAGGGGTTGAGAACTCTAGACTACAGGCCAGAGGCAGAGACCAAGTCATAAGGTAAGTTCCTTGGTCATGCTAAAAAGTTTTTATTTTTAACTCAGTGGTAATGTAGAACTATTGAAATATTTCAGGTAGGAGAGTAAAACAATAAAATGTTTATGTAAGTGCTATCACTTTGGCAATAATGTAGAGACCTAAAGAGAATGATGGGTGAGAATAAAAACAGATTTTCTTTCAAGAATATTTTTACCTCATTCCAGCTTCAGTATTTGGCCCACTCCTCCATCATAGTGAGAAATACTGTATCCTAACCTTTGTTAGCAAGAGAAAATAAGTGATGGATACATAACCACCATGAGCGCTTGATCCACCATAGAACAGTGGGCAGATTTTCATGTGCCATATCAAACGATTACAGTAAAACTAGTCAGGAAAGAGAAGGGAAAACACGTTATCTACACTGCAAGTGGTTTAGGGTGCCTGTGAAGAACATCACTTTGCCAAGACTCTTTGTCTAAGAAGGATTCATTTTCTAAGTTATTTGGCAGGTACCATAAGTGATTCTATGACCTGTGTTTTCTATTCAAGTGGGATATAAATAAAGGAAGTCCAAGACACTATCTGCGTGGGGCCTGAATAGAGAGAACCTATATTAATACTGTTCAAAATTCTCAGAAGGTGAGCCGCTTATTTTTGCAATATGCTTTCAGCGCAACAGCAAGTAAATATGAAGTGTCCACTGTTTTTTCCCAAGCAGGGAACTCAATTATTTGTCATAATGAGCGCCTTAATCCTGGGCCCCTGTGGTTAAAATCATATAAGGCCTCAAAACCTAAATGGCCCTGCCTGGACCTTTGTATCAGCTCTGGTGCCAGCTTTCAACAAGAGGTGCGCTGGAGTAAATGGAGTAAGCTGCTTGCCACCAGTGCGGACCAGATGTAATGGTCATGACAAGGCATCTCCCAGACGGATCTCCCTCTGTGAGGACTGCAGCTGATCGATGGTCTCAGCTACTGTGCCCCAGAGTCCATGACCATATTCACTGAGGCCAGCTGATGACTGAGTTCAGTAGGCGTACTGAGGCAGGGAGGTGGGGCTGCTCTGAAGGGTCACCATGGCTTAAGGATGTCCTTTCAGCCTTGCTAAACCTTTCTTAGAATTGTGCCATAACCTGAACCTTTTCCTACTCAGCCTTCCCCTCACTCCTCCCTCCACAGGAGCTACAGCTGCACCAAGGTCTGACAGCTGTCCCAGCATCCAACCTCTCTCTCCCCATTTTCCCTCAAAAAAGTTGCCCCAAGAAATCTTGCACACGACTAATCTCTTCCCAGTGTCCGCTTCCCAGAGGACCCAAATTAACACACTTGACAAAAGGCTCTAGTCCTGCTTCTCCTCACCCCAAGTCTCGAGAGGAAGCAACATCTTGACACAATGTGAAGGCCAGTGGGGAAACAGCAACTGCACAGTGCACTCAGCTGACAAACACATATGCCCATTTGAGTGCCCTCACTGCAGGAGCAGTGGCTGGAAAGATCCTTAATGTCTGAGGCCAGACACCCACCCACAGAATCTGACAATGCTTCTGACAGCCAAATGTCCACTCGGCACTTTAGCCATATGTTGAAACGAATATGGAGTGTTGAATTAATGCCACTCCAGCACAATGTTGTTTGAAAGCAGGGACAGATAAAGAAGGATTGCTAGTAGGAAAAAAAGTGCTATTGGAAAGGGTTGTTTGTACACCCCCACAAAGGTATAGGATAAAGAAAGCACCAACCACCTGTGCACAGAAGGAAAGAAGAGGCTGGCTGCCACAGTTTATGGACACAAACCACCATTCTATTGTTAAGCCACAAGCCCTGGCCTTACTTTCAAAGGAGAAAAAGAGGCAGTTTGTCCAGGCAAAGCAACACCATGCAAAGGCCTTGTTCTAGATTATATTCTCACAAGCTGACACTTCCCTGAGCTCTGCCCCCTATCCACCTGGTGGCATCACCTTCTCCAAGCAAAAACTCTAGTCCAGATGCATCCCTGCCCCTACGTGTCTGGGCATTTGGGCAACTAGGAGGGCAGTAGTATAGACATGCTGTTTAGTGAACCTTGACCTCTCCCCAACAGCATACAAGCCCCAGGATAGAGCTTGGACAATATACTTCATTCCTAAACCACTCATAGTCCTACAAATTCCATTTCAAGTTCCACCTGTGGGGGGGCCCATGCTCTGATGCAGCCTGTGCTCAATGAATTCCTTCATCTTTGAGTTCTAACAGCACTCACAGTTTAAACCACACCCTTTATGGCCCAATTTTATAAAGGCTTACATTGTTCAACATTGCTTTGCAGACCTTGGCTTTGTCTCCCTCATTAGACAATGAAACTGTTTAGGACAGAGACTGTGCTATTCTTCATCTCTTTTTCCTTCAGAAAAGCTACACTTTAGGCAGAATTGTAACCCAACTTTGTCTAAGTCCACAAACTCCCTTGGAATCAAGAAGAAAAGATCCTCCAACTTCATGTAGTTGGTCAGTGACCAACATTTTAAAATGTCACATGTAAGGAACATCATACCGAATGCTGTGATGTTCCTGTTCTTGCAGAGCTTGAAATATAACACCCATAGCAGATGCCTGACGGGCAACTGACACAATCATGTTTGTAGGAGAAGAAAGGAGGGAAGAAGGAAGGAAGGAAAAGCCTCATGGGCACTCAAAATGAGAAACATTTAGAAATATGAGCCTTGTCTTTCTGGACTGGCTTTCACTTCATTCTTCCCATTGAAAATATAAAAAAACTCCCCTCCCTCCCTCATTCTGCTTTCATGTCACAGACACACAAGGCATTGCCCTAAGACTTGGGAGAATTATAAAAATGAATAAAATATGGCCTTAACCCTAAAAGATTAAAATATTTTAATCCTACCAGGCCTTTTCCTCTTGCCCAATCTGTGATCCTGATTTCCAGTAAGAATAAGGTACGAGTATTTCCTAAGTCTCTTCTATTAAGCCTGCGTTTTATAACCAATCCCTCTGCATCTTATTGACAGTCATTTTACATGATGCTGAAGCATTTTCCT